GGCCTTTTTCTAACCTGCACTCTTAATTATAGTGTACTTGTAAAAGAAAAAAAACAAAAAAACAACAGCAACAAGGAAGAAAGAATTAATCCTGGAAATGCAGTTGGCAAACTAACACCTAATCCAGTAAATAATGGAGAGCCAACCCGTTATTTTCTGAAAACTTGAAATTGTTCAAAGTACTTTCCTGATTAGCACCTAAATAATAAAGTAATTATGTAATTAGCAATTAATTTGTCACTTCAGGACGTAATTTAATTTATTATCTTTTCTTTTAAGCGTGACACCAGAGGTAACAGTGGCAGGGGCTGTGCTGGCTGTGTTTCTGGGAGCAGGCCTGGCAGAGGAGAGGCTGTTGGGCTTTTAGACTTTTTGGGAGATGAGTATACATGCTGGGGGCGGGGCTGTGGGTGGGGGTGGGGAGGTAGGGGGTGGAAGAAACGCCTGACACTTAAGATTCCAAGGGCTCATTTTTAGGACCTGGGACGATCGTTGCTATTCTTTTTAGTATATTCATAGGCCTTGGATGATAATGGATGATGGGCATTGTGTGTTTGTGTTGGTATGCGATAACATGCGCTTCCAATTCATTCCATCCTTACTGATGGAGTGCCTCCCACTGATGACACCCACACTGAACTCGGGGCTTTCAGATTAAAGAGGACTATACCTTTGACGTACCCTTGACGTACCCTTGCCCTTAAAGAAGCCCGTGTTTCGGTATTTATGTTGGCCTGCAAGTGCATGTGCCTCCACTCATGTATTTATTCAGTCCATTCAGTTATTCATATAACAGATATCTGTTGAGACCTCTACTGCATGGCAAAGCTGGGAGTGCTGTGTGGTTCCAGAAAAGGCCCCGGGTCTCAAGGGGCCTGGATTCTAGTAAGGAGCGCAGACAAGCAGTGGGTAAACAGATACCTATGGAAACTGACTTCTACTAGTGCGCCCTGCCCAGCACAAGCGGATGGAGAACGCCGCAGCGCTGCAGTCTTAGATGGCTGGCTGGACAGGCGGAGGGATCGTGATAGCAAACCCTGGATAAAGCGAGGGAGTGAGACCTGGGCACTGGGAAGTGTGGCAGTAGGAGCGCCACGCCCCCCCACCCCACCCCCCACCCCCTGTCTGGAAGGTTAGGGCACATTTGAGGAACCCTGTGAAGGGGAAAGAGAAGACATGACAGTAGCAGTGGGCGGGGTCAATCATAAAGGTGCTCTAGAGAGGCGAGGCCCCTCTCGACCCTTCTCCGGATGAACCTGAGGACACTCAGGGCACACTAAGCCACGTTTCGTTTTGCAAGCCCCGTTCGCAAAGCGTGGTCTCAGGTTTTCCTCAATTCAGTGCTGGAGGGTGGAGGTGAACCCAGAGAGGTTGTCCAAGGCTGAGCCTCCCCGGCAGCTTAGAAGCTGGACTTGGGTTCTGGGCTTTGGGAGTTTTAGCCGAAGCCTCCAGACTCTCCGTTCCTTTCTTGCAGCAATTCCCAAGACGCTTCGGGCTGGTGTTTAGAAACGTGCCCCCCTCACCCCCCCACCGCCCCTGTTATTTCAGAACCCACAGCATGGTCCCTGGGTGTAAGGGTCACTGGGTCCCTTCTCTGAGCCGCTCAAGCAGAGAAGACGGAGTGTCTTAAAAGCTGGTTTTAATAAGACCCCACTGCAAGGGAATTAAGCTGACGTCCTCAGAAGAGAAGGAAGAAGGTTGAGTAGCTTAGTGCGCACTGTTTGCCTACCTCTGTGGAAGCCAGAAAGGGAGGGAGGCGGAAGAAGCGTGCCTTTCTCTGCAGAACGTGGGAACATCGGCCGCTGGGTGACCTGACTCCTGATCCATGCTAGGCCGCGGATGATCCTGACCTTGGTGTCCTTTAGACCAGCGTTTAGCCAATGTGGGAAACAGAGTAGGAATGCTAGGCCTCTCCCGCCTCTGTCTTATTGGTGGGCAGATTACTCTGTCTGGCTCGGGCTTCGTTTTTTTCACCTGTAGACTAGGGACTATAATGTTCACCATGCAAAGATTCGGTGGCGCTTCCACAGGGCAGGGACTAGGTGCAGCACGTGGCCCCGGGCTGGCCCCAAGTCCATGGCCCCAAGGTTGTGGTTCTTGTGGGTTTGTGGTACCGCCTGATTGGATTCCGTCACTCACTTTCTTGGTCTCCCTTACAGCTCCTCCCACATTTACAGAAACACCCCCCCAGTACATTGAGGCCAAGGAGGGTGGCAGTATTACCATGACCTGCACGGCTTTTGGGAACCCCAAGCCCATTGTCACCTGGCTCAAGGAGGGGACACTCCTAGGTGCTAGCGGGAAATACCAGGTAACTATCGTTCTGCGATAGGACCGCTGCGAGCTACGTCCCCTCCGGTCCCCTCACAGTTCCCTTTGCTTCCTTTCGGCTGGCCGCAAGCAGTCTCTCACCTCAGTGAGTGTGCGCACGGTGTGCGCAGGCACCAGGTAGAAGTGGGACGCTGTCTGTGGACAGGAGACGGACTGGCATGGTGGGAGGGGCCATGCCCCATGTTGGAGGGCGGTGGGAAAGAAGATGGATTTCCTGTCACATACCCCAGGCCCCGGGTGTCCGTCCTTGAGGCCATTTCCCCTCAACTTCTTTAGACTGTGTCACCCTGGCTGCGTAGAGCATCTCAGAGGCCCAGGGCTGAGAGTGCTGAGCTCCGTCCTTCTTGGCCCCCAGGTGAGTGATGGGAGCCTGACCGTGAAGGAAGTCAGTCGGGAAGACAGAGGTGCCTACACCTGCCGAGCATACAGCATACAGGGGGAGGCTGTCCACACCACCCACCTGCTTGTCCAAGGTAAGCGGGATGCAAACAGGCTCTTTGTTCAAGGAACTCCCAGCGCCCCGGGAGGCCGAGTGGAGGCGGGCTAGATGGTCAGGGGACGCCCTGCAGACCTGGTTCTGCCAGGGAGCACTCAGGGCAGCCTATGGGAGAGGGTCACCAGGAGGGGACAGCAAGGCGACATGGTGACTGAAGTTCTGGTCCCTCCCTCTGCTATGGCCCAGCCTCCTTCAGGGAGGGGCCTCCCTTGGGGTCACTGGCAGACGTAATCTGTGCCTCAGACTCTTCAGGAAGACCCCGAACGTTTGGCAGAGCTGGGGTCTGCAGCATCAGCCCATAAAGATGGCGGGCCTCCCTGCCTGGGGCCTGAGATAGTGTCTGATGGAGGGGCCCCTTCGAGCTTCTGAACCCAGCTGGCTCCTCACTCCCACCAACCTGCTGGAGGGACAGAGGTTGCAAACTGCATGTGGCCTGTGTGGGGTGGCAGGGAACCACTGAAGTACATGTTTATTCCTGCTCCCCACATAGAATATTGCATAGTGGCAGCAGCCGGGATTAGAGGTCCCTCTGCAGCCTTGATTAAAGCTGCCCCCATTTGCAAAGGAGTCCCAACCAACTTACTGAGGTGTCCATGTGGAAAAAACCTGCACCAGGGCCGGCCGGAATTTTACCCTCTCTGTTTCTCCTCCCTGCTGGTCTCTTTCCTAAATTGTTCTCTTAACCGCTGGTTCTGGCCCCGGCTGGTAAGCAGCTTGAGCCTCTTGCTCCTCCAGAGACCAGGGTTTACTTTGCTGTGGATTTAAGGGGTGGCCTTTGCCCATCCTGTATGTCTTCTGCTCAGAAGCTCTGTTAACGAGCATGATGGACCAAGATGGGCATGTGTGTTGTTTGTGTGTGTGTTTATAGGAAGATTGTGTGTGTGTGTGTGTGGGGGGGCACTGCGTGTGTGCACAGCAGGGCCTATATGTGCTTGAAGGGAGTATCTGCAGCTAAGTCAGGGGGATGGGGAACATCTGGCCACACTTCAGGGTCTCCTGCCTGCATTTGTGAGATCTGTTGGGCGAATAGGAACCTGAGCACAGGAACCAGCTGCATTGTCTCCATGACAACTACCTGGGGTTGGCTAGAACTCTTGGACAGTGCTGTTTCCCAACCCACTTCCTTGGGCTGAGGGCATCTGGAGGCCTTGCCAAGCTTCTTGGGAGGCCCTGGTGCTGTTCTCCTTCTCTTCCTTCACCCTAGTGCCCTCCCCGCTCCTCAGATGAGCTAACGATTTATCCCTCTCTTTCCCCAGGGCCTCCTTTCATAGTTTCCCCTCCAGAGAACATCACTGTCAACATATCCCAGGATGCTCTGCTCACCTGCCGGGCAGAGGCGTATCCTGGCAACCTTACCTACACCTGGTACTGGCAGGATGAGAACGTCTACTTCCAGAAGTGAGCACTCTGCTCCTGCCTTCATGGGTCTTTCCCTGGGCCAACAGGCGAGGCCTCTGGGTAGAGACAGTGGGGTGGTCCCGCCCACATCCCCCATAAACTGAGGCAAGAGAGGGGCCAGAAAGGCTTCTCTTGACCCCATTGGAAGGCCCCACCTCCCCTATGGGCAACAAGCATGAGTTGCCAGGACCTTGTCTAGTGGCTGGTAGAAAACCCAGCCCTCATTTGTCGGTCCCCACCCCACCCTCCCCCTCTGTTCTCTGTGCCTGCCTTGTAGTGACCTGAAGCTGCGGGTACGAATCCTGATCGACGGGACCCTGATCATCTTCCGGGTGAAGCCAGAGGATGCAGGGAAGTACACCTGTGTCCCCAGCAACAGCCTGGGGCGCTCGCCCTCCGCCTCGGCCTACTTGACAGTGCAGTGTGAGTAGGGTGAGGGGGGACCACCCTTGTGGGGATTTCCAGAGGGTGCAGGCCCCTGCAGCCAGCCTTGAGGCTGTGGGCAGCAAAGGCGAGAGTTCTCTGAGGGTGTGTGGGTGGGAGTGGCTGAAGGAGGAAGGATGGAAAGACATTCCAAGGGGACATGAGACCTGGACTGCGCAGTAGGTATGAATGCATCACGTCCTAAGTGTTTTCTGAGGGCCACACATAACTCAATGTGCTAGCTCATTCATCCCATCCACTGAGTGCCGGCTGAATTCAAGGGCAAAGGGCCCTGCTGCCTTCTGACCAGTTGTCCTTGAACTAAGTCACAGCCGACACCTCTCTACCTCCAGCAAGTTGCCACTTAGTGCTCCCTCCCCACCCCCCCAAAAAATCTCTGTCAGCGTGAAACTGTGCAGCAACTGATGCCCTGCCCTCCTTGCTTGCCTCCCCCGTCTGTGGACTGGTGTGGGATGAGGGTGTTGGAGTCTCTGCATGGGCCTGGCCCGATTTCGCCTCACCATGATCAGTCTCACACTTGTCCTCCTGTCGCTGTGCTCTTGAGCTGCCGGAAACACCCGTGATCCAGCTGCTCTTTTGGTGCCAGAACAATCTAGGCTTTTGTGTGAGGACATACATTCGCCTTGCTAATCTTTCATCCTTCAGCCACAGCCCATTGCTTTCCCGCCCCCTGGCAAGCTCAGCATTGAGAGAGGGAGAAAGAATGATGAGTAACGAGGACTAATTTCATCTCTCGGTTTGTGCATGGGCCCATCACTCCAGGAACAAAGGCTCCCTCCAGGCTGCCGTGGTCACAGACTCTCCATCCCGGGGCTCATGTGGGAGGATTGCTCACACCTAGGGGCAGGGAGTGGCAGCTGGCAGAAGTAGGAGAGCCAAGAGAAGGGCAGGCAGGAGTTCACAAGAGAAGCTGACGAACAATCGTGGCCAGAGGAGGCCAAGGTCATCTTCCGACTGCCCAGCAGAGCTGGATGTTGCTCTCTGTTCACCACTCAGTTTTGAGGTGGCTCCAGGCTAGATGGACAGAGTGCAGGACTTACCGACCTGATATTCCAAATGCTTTCTCATCGCTAGAAAGTGCTTTGCTGCTGTGGCAAGATGGACCATTTCTCCACTTCCACTGTGCCCAACTAAGAAGACTTTGAGGGTGAGGTATTTTAAGCTGCCAAGAGATGCTTGATCAATATCTACCCCACCCAGACCTGTAGTTAGCAAAAGCAAGCAGAACTTTGTTAAAGACTTACTCTGCACCCTCAAACTGTGTTAGAAGGTGGAGGGTCTCAAAGAAGTGAGTGGTTGGTTTTTCTACCTCGGTGGGATGGAAGACCAGCACAGCGGGACGCTGACTTGCAGCTCAGGGTTAAAAAGGTGACTGACGGTGGCACTGCACCCCAAGGGGCATAGGCCCCATCTTCTCAGCTCAGGCTGTTTTCTGTTGGGAGAGATCTGACAGTGCCCTCAACTGTCAACATCTGCCTGTAACGTACCCCCTGCTACCTCCACCCACCTGCAAAGAGAATCCAGGGCACTGGGGTTTACAGGTGGGTGACCCAAGGTTCATTGTTTCTGCAAAGCATTTGGAGTACATCCCATTTACAAACCCTTTGAAAACCGTGGAGCAAGACAAAACAAAATGATGATGAAAAGTCAGAAGCTAGGTCTGAATATATACCTTGGCCTGGCATTTATGTAAGACCGTGCTGAGAACAGTTCACAATGCTTGAAAGGCACCGACTTCTTCATCCTCACTGTCTCCCTAGAGGTCCTGCATCTTCCTCCTCTGCAGCCTTCCAGAGAAACTGGGGCAACCAGAGAGCCGATGACTCACTCAGCCCACGTCACAGGATGCGCTCACCCTTGGACTTGTCCCCTCTGCTCTGTTCATTCCATCGGTGGCCTCTAGTCCAGCTGCACAGACAGGGAGCCTGAGGCCAGAGAAGCTGGAAAACCAGCTGGAAGTAGAGGGGCTGGGAGGAGAGAGGTGACCGGCAGATCCATGGAACTGCCATTTCTCTTTTGGCTTTGGGTCTTGGGGAAAGCTCGAACTACTTGATGCTCAAGATGGACTTGGTGAGAAGGAACAGGTGGGGGATGTTGTGATGAGATATGGGCATTGAGCTAGGAGTCTAGCAGCTGGGGACGGGGAGGCATTGAGGGTCCTTACCAGACAGGTGCAATGAGCAAGTAGAATCAGCCAAGGAATGCTCCAAATGGATGGTGCACATGCCTAGCTTGAAGGTTGGACTTGTACAGAGGCCCCACAGAAGGGAGCTCCAACAACCAGCTCCTGTTAGATTATAGCCAAGAAAGCCCGGAAGGGAGCAATTCTACGTTGAATGCAGGGGCTCACTAATACTCAGAAGGGACTCGATGGGAGGCAGCTATTGGATTCACAGACTGGGGCATGCCAGAACCTGATTTTGATTCTTTACAAAATCTTTACATGGAAAACAGACAATCTTGACAATTGAACAGGCTGACAGGTAGCAGAAGCCCAGGTGGTCCTTTGGGACCTGTGGGCTGTAGGTTTCAGGAGGGCAGGGGCTAGTCTGTCTGGCCACCCAAGCACTTATGCTTATCTTCTGGGAGCATGAAGTGTTTATTTCTGTTCTGAAACCATTTTATTGGAAATTAATATAGATATCATAACATTCCATAGTTCAATCACATCAAGCCATAGTGTGCAATTGCTACCACAGTCTGTTTGAAAGCATTCTCTTCCTTCTTGAACTCCTTGACATCCGTTCCCTCTTACAACACCCCCCACTGCACAATACCCCCCCACTGTACCCTCTAAAAATCTTTAGTCTACTTGCTCTCCTTACAGGTTCATCAATGCTGGGATTTATATACAGAAAACAGAAAAACATGTAATGGAAATCCAAGAGGGTGACTCCCAATGACATAACACATCTGAGATAACCCCCAATATGAACAAACAAAAACCGAAATCCAGAAAATTTTGAAAACCAGATCAGGCCTAATGTGTTTCGGGGGTGGGAGAGTGGGGGGCACAATTGACTGATAAGGTTGTAACCATTCAAGTCAGGTTTCTCATTTGGATCTTCCATTCGCATCTCTCCAATGTCCTGGGCTTGGTAACCAGGTTCTTTCATCCCTCTATCAGGGTTAGAGGGAGATCACCGGAGGTGTAGTTCCTATGTAGATCCCACACATGTATCTTGGGCTTCCACTGTCATCCACAGCCTTCTGCAAACCAGAGTCTCACAATTTAGACTCTGATGCTATTCCCTCTTTCGACTTCAGATTTCATGATTTATAATCCTTCAGTGACTGATGTTGGTGTGCTTCTCCCTTGTGGACTTAGTTGACATCGCACTTGGATGGCTGTTTGCCCCAGACGCTATTTTATCTGATAGCCGGGCACCATCTAGTTTCGTCACCACACTTATTGATGACACAGGGAATGCATGTGAAGGGCAGGTCTATGCAGGGTTAAGCAGGGCTGGTGGGAGGTTTGGCTTCCTTCCTGGGTGTCTCACTTGCTCCCCACACTGTGTCTTTTCCTCTCCTGCCCCACACTGTTTCATCCTTTGCAGATCCGGCCCGTGTCCTCAACATGCCACCTGTGATCTACGTGCCTGTGGGAATCCACGGCTATATCCGCTGCCCCGTGGACGCAGAGCCACCAGCTACTACAGTCAAGTGGAACAAGGATGGCCGGCCCCTACAGATTGAGAAGGTGCCAGAGAGGCCTCGGCCTATGGGGCCATGCTTCCTCTGGGGGTCTGGTTCTCTGCCAGCTCGAACACCTGGAGCAATGCAGAGCTGCTTCTAGTAGGCCGCGGCAGGCAGGCAGGTGTTGGCCTTCTCTAAGTGTTTGCTCACCTGCTGGGACGCTCAGACCCCCAGCCCAAAGCTTGTGCTCTGCCAGCGCTGCTTCCTCCACTGGTCGGGTGGGGGTGGGGCTGAGTGTCCATTCTCTGAACGCGGTTCCTCATCTGCTCCAGCAGAACCTGGGCTGGACCTTAATGGATGACGGCTCCATTCGGATTGAGGAGGCCACAGAGGAGGCTCTTGGCACTTATACCTGTGTGCCTTACAATACCTTGGGGACCATGGGCCAGTCTGCGCCTGCACGACTCGTCCTGAAGGTAAGGCTCCAGGGCTGCATGGGATCGTAGCGGGGGCCCTCCGAGTACAAGGTTTCACAGGCTGCCTTTGCGGTGCCCCTCCGTAGGACCCTCCATATTTCACGGTGCTACCAGGCTGGGAGTACAGGCAGGAGGCCGGCCGGGAGCTGCTCATTCCCTGTGCAGCAGCTGGAGACCCCTTCCCTGTCATCACATGGAGAAAGGTACCTGTGGGCGCTGGCTTCCTGGGTGTTGGCTCCGCAGCCCCATCCCACCCACTGAACCCGACAGCCCTGCCCCGGCTGGCCAGAAACTGAGGGAGGTGCTCCGGAGCGCACAGGCAGAGCGGGGTGGGCTGTCCCACTCTGGTTGGGCACAGGCTCCTGAGGTGGTGGTGGCATGTCTCCTCCCCTGCCCTGACGTGGCCCTTTCTTCCCACACCCTGCTCCTCACCCACTTCCCCGCCCCTGGCTTGGCCAAGGTAGGGAAGCCCAGCAGAAGTAAGCACAACGCCCTGCCCGGTGGGGGCCTCCAGTTCCGGGCACTGAGCAAGGAAGACCACGGGGAGTGGGAGTGCGTCGCCACCAACGTGGTCACCAGCATCACTGCCAGTACCCACCTCACCGTCATAGGTAGGTGAGCTCCGAGGGGCCCCTCCCAGGCGCTGGCTGCCGGCCCAGGGCGGTCTATTCTGCCAGCCCATTCCACTCCAGACGCTTGGAAGGAAATGCCAACGCGGGGCCCATGCTCAGGAGATTCTTTCTCTGATGGGGGAGAGGTGGGTAACATGTTTGTTCGCAGCAGCTGCCTGACAGAAAGGAGGCATAAGCCGTGCTCCCCTAACCCCCACCTGCACCCCACCCCCTGGGTCATGCTGACCCTTCAGTCATCCGGAGCAGCAAGTGGGAAGCTGGAAGGCCCGGAGAAAGGGTTCGGCAGCAGAGAATTGTGTTGCACTGGGAATGGGGAGGACGGAATTCAGGAGGCTTGGGGAAGGGGAGTGGCTTGTCTCCTGGCTTCTCCAGGCACCTAGCATCACACATCTATTTCCTGTTCCCTGAGATGCCCCCAGGACCTCGGCATCTTGGCAATGTAGTTCTTCCCTCCCAAGGTCCCAGAGCTGTACCATGCTAGCAGTTAGCCCACGGAAGCATTGATGGCCAGTGGGCGGTGCTGCACCAAGTGGTGTGTACCGCTCACGTGAGCAGGTGTGTTCCTCATGTCACATCAGTCGACACTGAGGTCAAGGGTGGGGCGGGGGATGCTTCATCCCAGGGCACACTGCTAGTAAGTGGAGAGACCAGAACTCAAGGTGGGGCTGCAGCCCTTCGTCAGTGTGATGGCCGACAGCGCCTTCCTTGTTGAGGGCAGGCTTGGCTGAGCCGGGGCAAAATTCATCCTATCTTTGAGGAGTTCCGTGGGCCAGGGACGTCTTGTCTTTGCCTCTGAAGTGAAGGGCGAGGACTTCTGTTTATCCAACAGAGCAGAGTCAGCAGGACTGGGCCTTCTCTTTGGTTTGTGTTCCCACACTCGTGCTGGTACCTGCCAGACTGACTGGATCTGGCCAAGCAGGGGGTCAGCCCCTTTGGGTCTCCCTGCCACCCCCCCCACCACCACTCGCCCCCATCCCCCACCGCTCACGTGCAGGACTCTGCTACAATGGCTGCAGCATTTTGGCCTCCATTGATCCATGGGCATCTGGCACCACTGTCTGCTGCTCTGTGCCATCTGAGAGTTCCCCTGTCATCTCCAGGCACCAGCCCTCATGCCCCGGGCAGCGTCCGGGTCCAGGTCTCCATGACAGCTGCCAACGTGTCCTGGGAACCCGGCTATGACGGAGGATATGAGCAGACATTCTCAGTTTGGTACGGGCCTCTGTGAGTCACCCCCGCATGCTTTGCTCTCTGCTTCTCCCCTCCCAACCGCAATCTGCCCCGGGGTCAGGGGTGGGGTGGGGAGTAAAGGCTATGACGTGGACAAGGCACTTGTCTTAGACCTCCAGACAGTGAGGTGGGCTGGAGGCAGGGCTCTGCAGGATGTAGCTTCCTGTGCAGGATGGGGATGGTGGGGAGGGGCTTGGAGATTGCAAATTCCCAGCTGTCAAGGTTTGGGGGCCTGTTTGGGCTATTGCCTCAATTTTCCAGCACCCTCTGCTGCCCTCTCCTGGTGGTCTCACTGCCCTTGTGCATGCATGCGTGTGTGTGTGTGTGTGTGTGTGTGTGTGTGTGTGTCCAGTGCTCATCATTCTTCCCTAGGTTTCTCTGATCTCTGAGCTTTGTAAATAGCCCAGTCCCAGGCTTAGAACCAAATACTCTTCTGTCCCTTCCCCAGCCGTTTCACAACCAGTGTGGAGGAGTGGTGCCCACCCTCCTGACCTCGTCTCCGGGACTGCATTTGCTCTCTAGGATACGTGGTTCACAGCAATCAATGTCATTTCTCATTTAGCTGCATGCAGTCATTCGAGACCTTTGCCCAATCCTTGGGGTTGGGCAGTCGTCTTGATCTGAACCATGACTCCCCTGGGCAATGTTTCCAGTCATGCGTGCTCCATCTGAGCCAAGGGAGTGTGGGGTGTGGGTGGGGGGACGGACGGGACCATATCCATATGCCAGAGGGATCTCATGGGGATTCAGAGACCTCTTTTTAAAAATAACGTTGTGTTGTGTTTTAGGCAAAAACTAGGTTCCCATGTAACATTTTTTTTCTAAAAATTACTCTGTGGTGGTGTTTCCATTTTTTTTTTCACGAGGTGCCTGCATTCCCATTATATCCATTCTGTTTGTTTTGTTTTCCTTAATCTAGTTGGCCTGCCCCACCTCACCCTCTCATCTTTGCGCCAGGGTAAATGTTGGCCATTTGGGCTCACTTGGTGGCAAAATACAATGAAAAGATAATGGAGTTTTTCCCATGCACTTTTTGAAGCCTCCTCGTAGAGTTGACTATTTAAGGGGAAACAGCATTCACAGGTGATGGGGTGTACTTTGAAAGCCAATCTCATCTGGCTGGAAGGTAGGTGACATCTGGAGTGGCTTCAGTTTGAAGGTTGAAGGATGTCTTAGGACAATCGTCTCTTGGGTTCTTCTGGTCTCTTTTGGTCCAGAAGGTCTGAGTGGTTTTAGGTATTTTGAGTTTTTTCTGTATATTCTTTGTCCTTGTATCAGGGATTCTTCCAGTGTGCTCCTGATGAGAAGGGTCAGTACTGGTAGCCAGGCATCATCTAGTTGTTCTGGTCTTGGGCTAGATGAGACCATGGTTTAGGCCAACTATTAGAGCCCTATGGGCTAGTTTCTTCTTAAAATATTCGGTTTCCTTCATTCTCCTTAGTTCCAGATGAGTCAAGGCCAAGAGTTGCATCATAGCCAGCTGCTGGCAACCTTTTGAAACCCCAGCTGCTGCTCGCCAAATGAGGATGTCCAACGTTATCTTTGTGAATTGTGCTATACCAATTGATGTAATGGCTCCATGACACTATGACCTTTCCTAAACCTTTTAACCTAGCAAGCCAGCACCACGATGGATTTGGATATGTCTCTGCAGGCTCTGTAACTATGCCGCCCCCCACATGTGCTTTATTGCATATGAATCTCTATGTAACACCCAGGACCATGTAGCAAGTGTCCACTATCTAAAAAGTAACTCCTCCTCCCCCTGGTCCGACCCTGATGACCGTCACAGAGCACAGCTTTCTATGCGCACACCTTTTCTACAGACCACGTACCATTTGTCCGTTTGTGATGGGCACATTTTCACCCTGAATTTACCTGTGCTAGAAAACGCTCATGGGCCCGGTATGCATCCTCACAGTGGCATCCTGTTCCACTTTGGTCTGGGCCATTTGCTTATCCATACATTTGTTGATGGATATTTCGGTTTCTTTCATCCTTTGGTGCTTGGTACCCCGAGGCCATGAAGACAGAGGTGCGCATGACTGTTCGTGTCTGATCTCTTGTGTCTTTCAGATATATGCCTACAAGTGGGAGTGCTGGGTCAGAAGGTCTTTTTATTTCTAGCTTGTTAAGGAAGCATCACACTGTTTTCTGTAGTGGTTGTACCGAGACTGCTTGGCACAAGGGACGAGAGTCTGCCCATAGCCTGCCTTGGTGCTATGGTGGATGGTTCACCTGGGCATTCTGAGCTCTGGGTGGGCATGTGGACTCCGATGCCAAGCTGGCCTGGATTCAATGTCCTCTCTGGGTCGCAGCTACGACCCACCTTACACCCCACCTCAGGCTTTCAGTGGTCGGGTTGCGGGAGACCTCTGCAGGCCCATGGGGCTCCCAGCTGTGTGGCCAGGGAAGGGCACAACTTGGCATGGCGGCATCATCTTTGGAGATGCCTAAGTTGACAGACTGGGTGTCCAACGAGTGCTCTTTGCTGCCTGAGGTTCTGCTCCATGCTGCTCCTCTTCGGCATCATTTCTTAACACAGCTAACTCAGTTTGGTGCCCTGGGGAGGGTGGAGGTCCAGCCATGAGCACCTTCCTCCCTCGTCTCTGTCTCTAACTCTTTGTGCATCGACTCAGACATTTGCCGCTAGCTAGTTGCTTTTTGCTCTGCTTACAGCAGCCTCAGCTCACCCTCCTGGTCCCACTGGGTAGTGAGCCCTCAGCCTGGAGGGGAGCCTCCTGGGCATGCGCTCAATTACCTAGCTGGCTGCTAAGGAGGGTGGCAAGTCTAAGTCCCGTGGGCTGGTGTCTCCTCCCTGTGGTCATGAGGTGGTACTGCACCTAAAACAGCCTGCTCTGTGCCTGTGTTCGTGGTACTGTACATGTTGATCGGTGACAGCACTCATCCCTGGCCCCCATTCTCATGCACAGTGCAACATTGCGGCTATTAAGGCTTTAGGAATCCTAGTCCTGTAATGGGGTGCCCCTGGTCCTTCTTGCCACGTGTCTCATATGTCCAAGAGAATACGTGCCTGGGATGTGCCCAGATAATTCAAACATGATTCAACCAAGCCCCTCTGGTTAATCTGGGCCCCTTCTTTGTGATCCTGGGAGTGGTCTCCTAGGCCCCTGGCCTCTGTCTGTAGGATTCTACTGCCGAGTTGCTCATGCACAGTTCCTCCGAGGTGCATGCCTGTCCCCAGTGTTCCCGCCATACCTGGCAGAGCCCTCTTCCTGAGGGAGTATCCCACAATGCAATTGGCCATGTCATCACTAGCTTAGTATGAATCACCTGCCCAAGTCCCTTTCAGTACAGGTGGTATCAGCAGCAATAGCAGCGGGACTGGCCCAGACCCAGAAGGGCAGTGGGCAATACCAGCCCATTCTGGCCAGAACGCTCCTGCCCTTGAACCTGGGGAAGCCCACCCTCTGCATCTTCCTGAAGACCCTGCATGCACTCTCTTATCTCCAGTGGAACCCACCTTGTCCCCTTGTCCCCTGCCCTCTCTCTATTTCTTTTTGGCCAGGATGAAGCGGGCACAGTTTGGGCCCCATGATTGGCTGTCCTTGCCCGTGCCACCGGGACCCAACTGGTTGCTGGTTGACACTCTGGAGCCCGAGACGGCATACCAGTTCAGCGTCCTGGCCCAGAACAAGCTGGGGACGAGCGCCTTCAGTGAGGTGGTCACTGTGAACACTTTAGGTGAGGGGCCGGGGCTGTGGTCTCTTGAGGATATTACCCCGAGGGTTATGAACAGAATGATGATGGTGAGGTCTTCGCAAGCACCATCCATTGCTTGTATGTGCCAGGCCCCTTGCTAAATGCTTTGTATGATCATATCATTTGACGGCCCCCAAAGGAATCATCATACAGGAGTTTGTGAGATCTGCCTGCCCCTGAGTGTTTAGTCTCACTTTAGAGCAGCTGTATTGGGCCCGATACTCAGATGGAAGGTGGAGGCTTAGGGGTCTGCCCTTCCTTGGTAGGCCACCTGCTGGCATCTCCCTACAGCTTTCTGAGTCAATTAGCAAACCCTTTTGTCTTCCCTCTGTTTTGCATGGTGGCCATTCCTTTTGGCCTGTGGCCTCTTTTGAGGGCTCGTGTGGGGCTCTTGCCCTCGTTGAGTTCCCTGCTATATGCTGGCTCATCTCCCGCTGGGCCTGGCTGCTCACTCTGTCCCACCTGGCTCCAGACGGAGTGGCTCTTCTCTCCGAAGCCAGAGAGCAAGCAGCTCGAGCCGACGGTTCCCAAGATGCCCAGCCTCGTTCTCAGACTCTTTGTGCTATGCTACCACCCAGGGCCCTGCACTGATGAGATGCTAACCTCAGTTGCTCTCTTTGGGCTCCCGCTTCTCCACCTGTCCAAGGAGGGGGTTGACAGGATGGAAGTTTCTTGGAAGAGAACAGATGACATTTCAATTACATTTAGTTCTTTCTCTATCCATGCCTCCACCTTCTTCTTTTTCTTTTTCCTGTTCCCCCTACCCCCTCCTGCCTCTCTTTCTGAGCAGACTATTTCCTCGTACGGTAGCCTGTAGCACCACAGTTAGGTGCTCAGCTGCTAGCAGAAAAGTGGACAGTTTGAACCCAGCAGCCACTCTGTGGGAGAATTTGTCGTGTCACTTAGCTTCCATAAGACTGGACAGCCTTGGCAACTCGGGGCAGTTCGGCTCTGTCCTGCAGGGTTCACTGCGAGTCAGAACTGACTCGGTGTCACGGGTACTTCCTCTGAGGAATTCCCGGGTATAAACTGCTAATAGACCCAAGTGCTAACTATAAGGTTGTGGGTTCTAATCCATGCATAGGCACCTTGTACGGAAGGTCACCTGGTGATCTACTTGGCAAAAAACCAGCCTTTGAAAGCCCTACGGATCACAGTTCGACTCTGAGACACACGAGGTTGCTGTGAATTAGAATCAACCCGATGGGCACTGTGGTTCTTGACTTCCCTCCTACCCACACCCTTCAGAGAGCCTCTGACAGGAGCACCACCAGCCTCTGGGGCCTGAATTCTTGCCCTGGGGTCAGGCAGGCAGGCCATTGATGTGACAGGCTCCTGCCCCTGAAATGGCGATGCATACGTGCGGTGGCCCCGTATGGGCAAGAGACAGCCGGAGGGTGAGGATGCAGCCATTCTGCACTTCCTTCAGCACCCCCTCCCCATCTTTCTGGCCACAGCATTCCCTATCACAACTCCAGAACCCCTGGTGCTGGTTACTCCACCGAGGTGCCTCACAGCCAACCGGACCCAGCAGGGTGTGCTTCTGTCCTGGCTGCCTCCTGCCAACCACAGCTTCCCCATTGACCGCTACATCATGGAGTTCCGGATTGGGGAGCGCTGGGAGACCCTGGATGACATCATTCCAGGCACCGAGGGAGAGTTCTTTGCAAAGGACCTATCACAGGTAAGTACCTGATTTACTCTGCTTTTTATCCCCACCCCCCACCCCCAATCTGGAGATGGCATCCCTCTTTCTAGGGCCACTGGGAATTTCAAGTGACCCTACTCAGGCTGGGGATGACAAGGAACTCTGAACTCATTGCTGCAGTCTCCCAAATCCGCTCCCAAGATTTGGGCTCTTCCTCTCATGACAGTGGAAGCCACAGACTTAGGGCAGCTCTGCTGCGTGGAGGGATGTTCTGTACTGAGGGTTTCCAGAGCATGGGCATGGGCAAGAGGGGCTGGGGGCAAGGCAGGCTGGAGCCTGCTGTATGTCTTCAGAGCACTGGCCTCAGTCCTGCTACCAGGCTGGCTCAGCTTGGATAGAGGGCTTCCCAGGATTATCTGCCAGGGAAGATCCCCTCCATCAACAACTTGGGACCCTGGGGGAGAAAATAATTTCTCTTTCCAGCTGACCCTCTTTAAGCTTTGACAAAGCCATGCCCAGGGGAGGAAAGCAGCTTGCTTTGTTGAGACCGATGCTCCCACCCTCCCTTCCTGACACTGTCACTGCATGAGGTGCTGGAGTCGAACACGTGTCTCCCCTCTCCCCGAGGAGGCGATTTCATGCTTGCAGCTTGAAATCAGCCCTGGGTTGGGATGTCCACCACCGAACTTAGCAACTGCTCCAACCAGGGCTTTTGTCCATGAAAGGCCATGTGCTGTGATTGGAGGGGGTCAGGGGTTGTCTCGGACCTGCTGACAGGGTGCTGTCCTTGGACTGCAGGACACCTGGTATGAGTTCCGGGTTCTGGCCGTCATGCAGGATCTGATCAGCGAGCCCAGCAACATTGCCGGCGTCTCCAGCACAGGTACTCTAGGGGAGGTCATCTTCCACCTCTAGGGATGGGTGCCCCATAGCCAAGCATGGGTCTCTTTGTGGAACAGCTAATTGGAAAGGAAGGCACCCACCCCCCAGTTTACAGTGCATGAGCTATGGCATTTCTTATACCCCTGAGACCTCCGCTCTGCTTTCATAGTTTATTTGGCTAAAGAGACTGGATGCTAACAGGCTCTATAGGATACTTTCAGGTAGAACTGAAACCGAGTTTCTCATGCTGGTGGTCCAAAAAGAACTCGATTTAACTGCTATTTGCCATCACTTGTTAGCCCTAATGGGGGTGGGATGGTGAATCGGAGGGAAGAGACGAGTCTATCCATGTGTATTGAATGCCTACTCTAAGGCTTCTTCATAGTTCATCTGTTTTATGTATATAATTACTGGTGGGGGCTTTCCCCTCATCTCCTTCCTCTCCCTAGATATCTTCAGGACGAGGCTCAGTAACCTCAGCAATGGCACCGTCTTGACAGAAAGAACCCTAAAAGTCACATTCCGGGACTCTTGGGGCTTTTCAGGCTGGTGTGGGCCCACAGGAGGGGGTCCTGTGGGGGAAGGGAATGGAGAAGGGAGGGGAGACTTTTGTTATATATTTGGAACCTTTTTTGAAAATAAAAAACCCCAAATATACAAGGGTAGTCCCAATAGGTAGCAGATCCCAGCCTCCTCTGTCCTTGGCTTTCCTGCAGGCAGGAGCCAGAAAGACAGAGGCGCAGCAAACAGAGCTTGTAGCCGAATAGGAGACTTGGGGTTTTCACAGGCTCATTCCCACGAGCTTCCGTGTGCTGTTCATTTCACGAGGGACTCTCAAAGCCTCCAGCTGGGGGGTGAGCATGCAGTGACTCCAGCCCATTTCCTTTTTGGTCCAGCAGCCCCCCAACTGTAGCGTTCACTTCCCACCCCACCACGTAGCCTGATCTGGACTATTTTATTTTTTATCCATGATTATAGACATAGCCATGGATCCTGGCCAGCTTTGGGCCTGTTCTTGCGATGAACCCAAGTGAAAAGTCAAACTGTCTGCCATGCCTCTCCTGTGAGGAATCATACAACACATGGGAAGCAGGAGACCTGGGGCTAGTCTTGGTCTCGTGCCAACTAGCTGTGCGGGTTGGGACCAGAAAAGGGGCTCCACCCTTTATCTGTAAGAGTCTTCTGCCCCTCCCAGCTCTCATGCTCCCTCTCTGAGAAGAAAGACAGGCTGGGAAGTTGCAATGCCCGCACCACAGAGATGGATAGACTTGAATTCTGGGGTAACAATTCCTATCAGGGTTGCCGTATTGGGTCTCCAGGTATCTTTATACCTGGCCTCTCACTCTGTAATGAGTTGGCCTGGTGTTAGGGAGAAGCGATTGGACTAGCAGTCAGAGAGCGTCTGGATTCCAGTTCCCTCAAACTCAGCAAATCACAGGTTTTCCCCCGCGGAGAATGAAAATATTCCCAGCTGTGCTGTCTACCTCATGATGTTACCTTGAGGAGAACTGATAACATGTAAGGCACTAGGCCAGTGGAGCTCATTGCTCAAGTGTTTATGCCCATGGGGAGAAGCGCCGGATGTTATTTGATTCTTTACCATGCTGCGCAGGAATTAGTTGGCTGCCCCACACACTCCCCTACTGATGGCTTGTCTTCAGTGTTAGAGTGGAATCCTGACCCGACACTGCCTGTCCTGAGAGATGGGCAGCATCTTGGGAGACTGTCACACATGTGGGGCACCTGAGTGGCATTCTGAGCACTCCACCCTCCTCTGCAGACATCTTCCCCCAGCCGGACCTGACCGAGGATGGGCTTGCTCGGCCGGTGCTGGCTGGCATCGTGGCCACCATCTGCTTCCTGGCGGCAGCAATCCTGTTCAGCACCTTGGCAGCCTGCTTTGTCAACAAACAGCGCAAGCGTAAGCTGAAGCGCAAAAAAGGTGGGTTTCCCTCCACCCTCTTGGCCGGGTCCCAAACGCCCCTCCCCAGGAAATGAGGGCCGTTTTGAGCATGGTCATCCTTGGCGATATGGAAGCTGGTGGGACTTACTTTGAAAGGCTGAGGCGGGAGACAGGGTGGCCCGAGAGAGTCTGTGGAGGCCGGGCATGGTGCCATGCCTGAGGTAAGGAGGAGCTTGCTCCTTTGTCAGGCTTCTTCCCGTAGGTGGGACCTGGGGCCACACGTGTGGAGTTCGTGTCGTCTCCTCCTCAGTGTTTCTCTTTTCCTTCTAGACCCTCCACTCTCCATAACTCACTGCAGAAAGAGTCTGGAGTCCCCGTAAGTATCTCTGACTTCGGAGAAATGACTGTGTGTAGTCTGTGGGGAGAGATGGAGAGGTAGTGTCCTAGCTGGTTATGGCTGATCAATCCGCGTGTTAACTGTGCGTTTCCCACATGAATGGAGGAGAGCAGATTTGGGATAGTCCAAATGAGTGGATAACCTAAAAATCATTTCTCTTTAGCTTTGGAATGTATAAGGATACGTCAAAGAGTCTGGCTGCTCGGGACCCAGCACATACATGTGCAGATTTATTCCAAAGAAAACAAATTTAAACATGTCTGAAATTAATGGATGGCAATATATGAGTTTTCTTAGTAATCTACTTGTCTTAGTTTCTTTAAAACTCCAAGAACTAAGCTTACTGCCACCGATCGACTCTGAATCATGGTGACCCTGTACGACAGAGTAGAATCCTTTGGCTTCCCGAGACTGGAGATCTTTTTTTTTTTTTTAATCATTTTATTGGGGGCTCGTACAACTCTTATCACAATCCATCCATTGTGTCAAGCACATTTGTACATTTGTTGCCATCATTTTCAAAACATTTTAATTCTACTTGAGCCCTTGGTATTAGCTCCTCATTCTTCCCCTCCCTCATGAACCCTTGATAATTTATAAATTACTACTTTTTCACCATCGATTTTAGATCACTTGTTCCCTTGTCCCTGGGTTTGTTAACACCCACTTCCTTTCCCCCGCCTCCCTCTCTCCCATGTCCCCCCAGATTGGTCCTGTTGTTTTTTCCTCCAGATTGTTTATCCTGCCTATCTTATCGAGATAGAACTGCAGAGATAATAATATGCACAAAAACAAGACAGAGTAAAACAAAGCAACAAAAGAAAACAAAACAACAACAGAATGAACGAAAAAAAAAGGAGGCTGGGAATCTTTTTTGGTGCACAAAGCCTCATTGTTCTCCCATGGAGAGACCAGTGGGTTTGAACTTGCAGTTAGTAGCCCAGTTTGTAATCTTACACTGACCGATGTCTCCCTTCACCCACTTTTCTGGTGTCCATCCCCCAGGGAGGGGGCTATATGTAGATCATTGTGATCGGTTCCCCCTTTCTACCCCCACATTTCCCTTCCCCTCCTGGTATCTCTACCCTCATTATTGGTCCTGAGGGATTTATCTGTCCTGGATTCCCTGTGTTTCCAGCTCTTATCTGTACCCATGTACATATTCTGGTCTTGCTGATTTGTAAGGTAGAATTGGGACCATGATAGTGGAGGGGAGGAAGCATTAAAGAACTGGAGGAAAGTTGTATGTTTCATTGGTGCCATACTGCACCTTGACTGGCTCATCCCCTCCCCGAGACCCTTCTATAAGGGGGTGTCCAGTTGCCTACAGATGGGCTCTGGGTGTCCACTCTGCACACCCCCTCATTCACAATGATATGATTTTTCACTCTGGGTCTTTGATGCCTGGTACCTGATCCTGTCGACACCTCATGATCACACAGGCTGGTGTGCTTCCTCCAGGTGTGCTTTCTTGCTTCTCAGCTAGATGACCGCTTCTTTATCTTCAAGCAGCTAAGACCCCAGATGTTATATCTTTTGATAGCGGGCACCATCAGCTTTCTTCACCACATTTGCTTATGCACCCGCTTTGTCTTTAGCGATAGTGTCAGGAAGGTGAGCATCATGGAATTTGTTGAGGGAATACTTGAGTGGAGGCCCAATGTCCATCGTTAACCTTAATACTAAACCTATAAATGTACATAGATCTATTTCCCCATCATCATTTATAAATATATTTACATACATACATGCCTGTATTTAGACCTCTATAAATGCCCTTTGCCTCCTAGTTCTTTCCTCGATTTCCTTTTACTTTCCTCTCATCTCACTATCATGCTCAGCTTTCATTTGGGTTTCAGTAATTCCTCTTGGTTACATTGCCCTTGATCAAGCCCTACCAGGGCTCTTAAACCCTCACCATCGATTTTAGATCACTTGTTCCCTTGTCCCTGGGTTTGTTAACACCCACTTCCTTTCCCCCACCTCCCCCTCTCCCAGATTGGTCCTGTTGTTTTCTCCTTCAGATTGTTTATCCTGCCCATCTTATCTAGATAGACCTGCAGAGATAATCATATGCACAAAAAACAAGACAGAGCAAAACAAAGCAACGAAACAAAACAACAGAATGAATGGGGAAAAAAAGAGGCTGGGAATCTTTATTGGTGCACAAAGCCTCATTGTTCTCCCATGGAGAGACCAGTGGGTTTGAACTTGCAGTTAGTAGCCCAGTTTGTAACCTTCTACACCACCAGGGCTCCTTTGAGATTTTTAGGGTGCCTTAAGAGAAACAAGGTCCTTTCAAAACATTTGCTTTCAATGGGGAGCTAATGGACCAGTTAAATTCAAGGTAGAGAGAGATGTCAGCTAAGAAGATTATAATGATTTTTTTTTAGTGGATCCCCAAAGGGGGTGATCTTGATAGAATTTCTCTAAGGACGCATAGGAGCTTATTATAATGAAGTTTCAAGAAAATTCAAAACTACATTCATGAGAAAAAGGCAATCGGCCTGCTCCGTCTTGCAGGAGCAGGGACTGTCCTGTGAGAATTTCATTGGGCAATCTTACTCCATCCATCTTATAACCACCACCTCACCCCTCCAGCACCATTTCATTCCCTAAACTCAAAAGAACATTTCAAAGGAACTAGACTGGAGTCCCTCCCTCAATGACGCCAAATCGCAATGGAGATGTGATGTGAAATTCTTTAGGGGTGGGTGAGAGGGATGCCTTCGGATATTGAGAAAGAAGAGTTTCGAGTTCTGGTATTGTTGTTTAAGAACTGTGTCTATGAGTCTATAGCAATGCTTTTTGACTTACCTCCACATTTCTGTGACATTTTCATCTCAATAGATTCTCCTCCCCTCTCCCCCACCCCCACATATATGTTTAACAGTATGCTGTTATGGTTTTGATTAAGGGATCCCATTTACTCATTTCTACCCAGATTATTCAGCGACGTGGGTTAGGTTTTCCACAGGGCCTGGCCATGCTTACTCTTTCTGTTCTGGGTGTTTCATTTTGTTCATCCTGCCCCCTCACTTCCTCGTCTTTGGTTTAGGAGGAGGAACCATTTGGTTTTCTAGATGGCTTTTCTTAAAGACGCACAGCACGCAGGGGTGATGCTAGGCTTTATTTTGTGAGTCCCAGATTTGCCTTCGTACCTTTTCCCTTAGGTTCATAATTAAATGAGCTCGTATTTCTTGAGCTCTAATGCACGTCCATGCGGTCAGGCTGGAGGTGCAACGACCCCTGGTGTTCCTGTAGCAGGCACCGGCCCAAGTGAGTGTTAGCAAGGATGTGGTGTTCATCCGGAGGATGGGAGATGCACACTCAAATGGCTGCCCGGGGTCCCCATGTTAGAGCACTCTGAGGCTCGTGCTACTGTCATTGCTAACAGGATAAGAAGGAGGGGTGGGCTCCTTCTCTTACCTTTCGGTCCTCCGGCTTGCTCCCCACCCTCCCTAGCCTGTCTTCCGGCAAGGTGAGCCCTGAGAGCATTCGCACACTCCGGGCCCCATCAGAGTCCTCCGACGACCAGGGCCAGCCAGCCGCCAAAAGGATGCTGAGCCCCACGCGGGAGAAGGAGCTGTCGCTGTATAAGAAGACCAAGAGGGCCATTAGCAGTAAGAAGTACAGCGTAGCCAAGGCCGAGGCTGACGCAGAGGCCACCACACCCATCGAGCTCATCAGCAGGGGCCCCGACGGGCGCTTCGTGATGGGCCCTGCGGAGATGGAGCCCTCCCTGAAGAGCAGGCGGATCGAGGGCTTCCCCTTTGCTGAGGAGACTGACATGTACCCCGAGTTCCGCCAGTCTGATGAAGAGAATGATGACCCGCTGGTGCCCCCCTCTGTGGCCGCCCTCAAATCCCAGCTGACCCCGATGTCGTCCAGCCAGGAGTCCTACCTGCCACCACCAGCATACAGCCCTCGGTTCCAGCCCCGGGGGCTGGAGGGCCCCAGCGGCCTGGAAGGGCGGCTCCAGGCCACAGGCCAAGCCCGGCCACCAGCACCCAGGCCCTTCCACCATGGCCAGTATTACGGGTACCTGAGCAGCAGCAGCCCCGGGGAGGTGGAGCCGCCCCCCTTCTACATGCCGGAGGTGGGCAGCCCCCTGAGCTCGGTCATGTCTTCCCCACCCCTGCACACGGAGGGTCCTTTCGGCCACCCCACCATTCCCGAGGAAAACGGAGAGAATGCGTCCAACAGCACGCTGCCCTTGACTCAGACGCCCACCGGGGGTCGCTCCCCCGAGCCCTGGGGCCGGCCAGAGTTCCCCTTCGGGGGGCTGGAGGCCCCGGCCATGATGTTCCCTCACCAGCTACACCCCTGCGAGGTAGCTGAGAGTCTGCAGTCCCAGGCCTGTCTCCCCAGAGGACTGCCCCCGGCTTCCCTCCAGGTGCCCGCGGCCTACCCGGGCATCCTGTCTCTGGAGGCACCAAAGAGCTGGGCAGGCAAGTCTCCGGGCCGGGGCCCCGCCTCGGGGCCCGCCGTGGCCAAGTGGCAGGACAAGCCTATGCAACCTCTGGTGAGCCAAGGGCAGCTCAGACACACCAGCCAAGGCATGGGCATACCGGTGTTGCCTTACCCCGAGCCGGCCGAGCCGGGCGGGCGGGCAGGCCCCAGCGCCTTCGGCCTGGATACCCGGTGGTACGAGCCCCAGCCCCGGCCCCGGCCGAGCCCCCGGCAGGCCCGGCGAGCCGAGCCCAGTTTACATCAAGTGGTGCTACAGCCCTCGCGGCTCTCACCTCTGACCCAAAGCCCTCTGAGCTCG